TATCTATCTATCTATCTATCTATCTATCTATCTATCTATCTATCTATCTATCTATCTATCTACCGAGGCAGGGTTTCTCTGTATGGCTTTGGCTGTCCTAGACTTACTTGTAGACCAGGCTGCCTTGAACTCACAGAGATCCGCCTGCCTCCTTGAGTGCTGGGATTAAAGGCATGTACCACCACGCCTGGTTCTGTCTTCTATTTCTTGTCCAACTAAGGTATCTTGACTTCTTGAAGTTTGACTCAGGACCATTTTGTATTTCACTACAGTATCAGAGCTATAGAGAACTTCCCAGTCTTTCCTAGAAATAGGGATATTTGTGTTTGTAACTCATTATTATAGCTCTTTTTGAAAAGAAAAAAAGATTTTATTTGATTTTATTTGATTTGGTTTGTGTGTGTTTATGTGTTTGTATATACATGGAGGCCAGGGGTTGATAGTGGATGTCTGTCTTTATTTCTCTCTACCTGTTTTTCCTCACTATATCACCCTGGCTGGCCCCACCTCCACTAAATGCTAGGAATAAAGGCATTTGCTAGCATGTTTGGCTCTACCTTGTTTTTTGAGACAAGGTTCTCTCACTGAACCTGGAACCAAATGATTGGCTAGACTGGCTGGCTAGTGAGCCTTAGAATCCTCCTGTCTTCACCTCCCAGCACTGGGATTACAAGGGTGTACAGCCACATCTGGCTTTTTTGTGGGGTACTTTAAGAGCTAAAATGGGGGGTGGGTAGGGAGATGGCTTAGTGGGTTAACTGCTTAGTGCATAAGTTTAAAGACCTGAGTGCAGATCCCCAGTTGGGGCTGGCAAGGTGGGTAAAAGCTGTTTGCTATTAAGCTTGACCACTTGAGTTGGATCCTCATGACCCACATGATGGAAAGAGAAAACTGACTCCCATAGTGGTCCATCAGCCTCCACATGCATGCCATGGCATGTGCGTGCACATGTAGGCACTCACTAAGTAAATGTAATTTTAAAAGTTAAAAAAATGAAATTAGGAATGGTTAGGAGAACTAGTCTTTGTAGTAGCGTAATACGGTATGCACTGTGATGCTTGTGCTGTGGTTTGGTTGTCATGGCCTACTGAGTGGAGGCTAGGCTGCTGCTTGTCATCTTGTTGGTAGAGACCAGGAATACCACTAAACATTCTGTGGTGGGGGCACCTTTGTTTGTCAGTAATACTTTATCTGTAAGTAATACTAAGATTTGGGAACCCTTCCAAAAAGGAGGAGACTGTTACTTCGCCCTTACAGTTGAAGTTTTCCTATTTAATAACAATAGTTTACTTTCAGATTGTCTTTTATCTTGGTGATCTTCACAGTTGTATTTGTTTTCTTTGTAATTTCTACTTTATAATCTTCTTCCTTCTATTTTTGGATTTATTTTGGTTTTTATACAAACTTGTTTGTTTTTTTGTTTGCTTGTTTGTTTTAATGGTGCTAGGGATTAAATCCAAGGCTTCATGTATACTGGCAAGTGTTCTACCACTGGGCTTCATCCCTACTCGTCAAATCTCTGTGGCTATTCTGTGTGCCTTTGAGACAGGTTTACTCTGTGACTGGGGAGCTGCCTCAAATTCATTATATAGTTCAGCTGATCTGGAACTAGCAGTGAACATCCTCTTTTAGCTGTCTGATGCTGGGATTACAGATATGTACTGTCTCACTCATATTTCTTCTTTCAAAAAAAAAAGAAAGAAAGAAAGAAAAAGAACCATAATTTCCATGCATTTTTAACATATCTTTAATTCCAGCACCTAGAAGGCAGAGCAGGAGGGTCTGAACTGAAGGCCAGCCAGGGCTATATTGTGAATGCCTGTCTCTAAAAGGTAAGGTAGCACATTTATTCAGATTCTCTATCAGGACTTGTATGCTTTTTATTGTGCTGTGTGATCTCTAACAGAAGAGAAAATTTAGCATATTTTTAGGATCCACTTAGCAGAAAAATTTGAGAGGCCTTGGATGCATCTCTTATTATTCTCCTAGGTTTTTTAGGAAAATGGGGTGCTAGATGTTGAGCTTAGGGCTGTGGGAATGCTAGGCAAGTAGTTCTGCCAGCTGAGATGTGTCTTTGGCCTTTTGTTTTATTCTTATCTGTTTTACATTCCATATCAAGGCACTAGAATTCTGTCCTAGATATGGCATGCTTAGTCTCTTTTGAGAGCTGCCTCATAGCCAAAAAAAAAAAAAAAAAAAAAAAAAAAAAAAGTGTGGTTTTACCTTTGGCTTGAGGCTGAGCCACTTCATCTTAACTACTGAGTAGGAAAAGCTGGTCTCTTCCAACTTTGGGCTTCTGGCCCTCTTCAAAAAGTCTGCTCTTTGCATTTCCTATGGCTCCCTTCTATTTCTTCTTTTTGAAATTTGAAGTGTCAGGGATGAAGTATTCTAGATAAAGAATCAAGGAAAAGGGCCTCAGGAATAAGCTTGATTTAGAATCAGTAGCAATGAAACCATTGTGGCTGGAGTGTAGCAAGCTAGTTACAAGTCGAAGGACAGAATAGTCTGGGAGAAGACAGGCAAGGTGTTCTAGTTTGCTTTTCTGTTGCTGTGATAAAGCACTGTGACCAGAAGCAACCAAAAGGGCAGTAAAGGGTTTATTTGGCTTATGCTTCCAAGTCACAGTCC